TGCAGCAGCCACTGACATTGCTCCATACCAATATAAAAGCATTTTTAAGAGCTGTGAGGTATGCAAGGGCTTAAAGATTTCTTCCCCTTATACTTGCAGATTACTGCAACATTCAGCAGAACTAGAACTACAAAAGAGCTGGAGATCTCTATGTTCTTGCAAAATTGCCTGTAGCACAAATTCAAATCTGTGCTATTTCAAATACATTTGTACAGTGCCTGTACTAGGTTGGAGCCTGAGATGCAAGATAAAAGTTTGTTTTGGTAGCTTTTAACTACAAATAGCACCTGATAACATTGAGGCAAGTTTCTATTACAAGTGTTTCTCAGCCTACAATGAGATATCAGTGATACAACAGTAAAATGACACAAAACAACCCAAGCACACTTAACTCCTAGAATCTGGTTCCTTATTGGAATCTCCTTCTTAGGCAGGAAAGACTTGAACTAAAGGGCAATGTTTGCTAAAAATACTTAGTTAACTGCAATAAAATTATTTTTAAAACACCCTCTCATATAAGTATGATACAAAACTGAGAAAAACAGAATTGCTATGTTCTAAAATGTGTCTCAGTAGTAAAAAGACAGATCAAGACTGTAGCAAAAACACTGTATTAATGGAAATATTCAAGATCTGAATGACGGAAGCCTATGTGCCAAAAGAACTGAATGAAGAATAGAGGGAATATCTGTTATACTAATAAACAAATTGACCCTGTCCCAGGTTGCCCAGGGAGGCTGTGGCTGCCCCAACCCTGGCAGTGTTCACAGCCAGGTTGGATGAGCCTTGAGCAACCTGCTCTGGTGGGAGGTGTCCCTGCCCAGGGCAGGGGTTGGGGCTGGGTGACCTGTAAGCTCCATTCCAATCCCTAAAATTCTATGATTAATCCATGAAACTGCACATGGCAACTTTAAAAAGTGTGTGTCAAGTAACACATGGGTTTTGTGAGCTTCTCACAGGAAATTCCCCCTGTACACCCTACCCTTAAATGCTTTTAAACATCTAGTGCTGGTAATTCACCCTACACTTCACAGTGACTCAAACTTGAAGCTGGTTAGGAAGACAGAAACCCTCCATTCCCTTAGGAGATAACAAAGGGTTAACTTCCCAACTGGAGAAGTTTCACTCTGACTGTCCTTGCTTCACAGTAGGATAGTGACAGATTCCAGGAAAAATGCAGCCAAGTAAGGAAAACACTTGGGTCAAGCAAATATATTAGGCAAACCTCAATGTCAGAAGCACAAAGCCTGCAAGAGCCAAAGCCTGCACTGCAAAGTCAAAGCCTGGTTACTTTTACAGAAATAGTTTTTCTCACATTAAAACCATCACAATAGTCTTGGAGGTAAAAAAAGCTGATTGCTCAATAACTTAAAAGTGAAAATCAGCCTTGCATCAGCATAGTTGCAAAAGAAATCTGTAATTGAGGCTACAAAGCTCTAATATGTTAAGCTCCAGGATTCCTGTTGAAACAAAAGATAAAAGGAAACCTTGTAAATGTTATAAAATCTTACAATTAAAAGCTAGATAATTGTCTGTCTTCACACAAAATAATCAAGGAAAACGTCCAACTTGGATGTTATTCTCTGTATTACTATTATCAAGACGTTGCTGCAGTCAAGATTAATGAAGTCAGAAGAGTAAATAAAAACTGTTTTGAGGATATCCTTTCTGCTGTACTGCTCAGAAAGATTGCTTCATAGATCACTGGTTTCATCATTTCTTACTACATGTTAAACAGTTCTGCTGGAATACAAAATCACCCCAGAAGTTAAGAGAACAATGCATTCCTCAATGAAAGGTTACAAATTTCACACATGCATGTTTTAAACATCTGAATTTCAGCACCAATTTCAGATTAAACAGAAAACACAACCTAAACACAGAAAAAAAAAATCCAAAAAAATATGTATTTCCAGAGATAAAAATACGAAGGAGCGGAGAAAAGAAGAAAATCAAAGCCATGGGAAACACAAGAGCTACATTTATAGGAACACAGCCATTTACAAAATGCCTTTTTTTAATGGTTGCCTTTCAAGCTGTGCCAACACTACAGTGAACATAAAAGATCTGCCTCCCTAGCAGATTTAGAAGAATAAGCAATTACTACATTAGAGAAAATACGCGCAGAAATTTTCACCAATTGGTAACTGGCAGCAGAGCAACTCTTTATGTGCCAAACCCCAAAAAGCCCTTGGGCACCAACCTCTACATATACCAGCAATGAACAACCAAATGAGGAAAAAAAAAAAAAGCACAAAAAAGCCCTGTTGCCTCAAACTGGAGTCAGCCCTTCACTGTGGGGAAGGAAAAACAAACAAACAAAACACCCCAGAACTCTCCAATCCTCCTAGGTAAGCAGTACAAGGCTCTTTTTTATCAGGGTGTTTAAAGCCATAGGTCTTCTCGCTGGGAAAGCAGAAGGCCTTTCTTCCAAATGGAAGAGAGGTCCCCAAATTTATTCACTACTACTGCTGAAATGGTTTACACAGAGGCAACTAGAAGGAGCATCTATTGCAGACTGTGCCCAGTGAGCACTAGGGATTTCTCAGTTCTTGAGAACACTTCTTCATCTGCAGTTCAAGTTTGATTCAGTTGGAGGGAAGGGATGGGACATCCAGAAGGACCTGGACAAGCTGGAGAGGTGAAACAATGCAAACCTCATGGAGTTCAACCAAATGAGATACAAGGTCCTACATCTGGTCCATGGCAATCCCAGGCACAGCCACAGGTTGGGTGGGGAAGGAATTGAGAGCAGCAATGAGGAGAATGACTGGATGAGAAGTTCACCATGAGCTGCAGTGTGAGCTCAGCCCAGAAAGCCAGTGGAACCCTGGGCTGCATCCAAAGGAGTGTGGGCACCAGATCAAGGGAGGTGATTCTCCCCCTCTACTCTGACCTCATGAAACCCACCTGGAATACTGCGCACAGTTCTGGTGCCCTCAATGTAAAAAGGACATGGAACTGTTGGAGCAAGTTCAGAGGAGGACACCAAGTTGCTAAGAGCACTGGAGCATCTCCCCTGTGAGGACAGGCTGAGGGAGTTGGGGCTGTTGAGCCTGGAGAAGAGAAGGTTGTGTGGAGACCTCAGAGCACCTTCCAGGAGCTGAAGGGGCTCCAGGGAAGCTGCAGAGGGATCTGTGTTAGGAGCTGCAGGGACAGGACAAGGGGCAATGGGCACAAGTTGAAAGAGGGAACTTTAAGTTAGATACCAGAAAAAAATGTTCCTGTGAGTGTGGTGAGACACTGTCCCAGGTTGCCCAGGGAGGCTGCGGCTGCCCCAACCCTGGCAGTGTTCACAGCCAGGTTGGATGAGCCTTGAGCAACCTGCTCTGGTGGGAGGTGTCCCTGCCCAGGGCAGGGGTTGGAGCTGGGTCATCTAAAAGGCCCATTCCAACCCCTAAAATTCTATGATTCTATGATTATGGCCTTTACCACAGAATGGCAGGAGGAGGTACTGCAGCAATTAGAAACCTTATTTTGGAGCATTCCTTATGATTGCTCATCCTCACCATGGATTGAAGACAGTCATCGTCCACTGTGGGTGATGGTAACAATCAAGCAACGTATGTGAGATTTAATGTTAATTAATTTTTCTGATCCTTGATGCACTTCCACATCAATGCAGATCAGTGAGTTTCTACTGCATCAACAATGTCAATGTGAACTGAGAATCCTAGTTTTTGCAGTTTCTTTTCCTGACTCCATCTACTTGCTCAAGAAGGTGAAAATCATCTTAGATAAGACAGTGACAGATGACTTCATGGGCAGAAGAAACTAATTACTGCATAATAAATATCCTCGAAACTATTTTATTATGAATGAAATTAAATATGACTAAAACACATTTTGCATTTTCCTAGAAAGGATTTTCTCTTAAGAAGGAGCATCAAGAAGCCACATTTAAAATCAAATCTATTAGAAGAACTAAAGAGAAGATTTTAGTGCTACCACCAAATACTGAAAACCAACAGCCTCAGTGATGCATTTTCCTTGCTGTATTGAATACCAAAAAACTAGAATTGTTCTTTTCATGTACTTAATAAGTGTATCCAAGCACAGAGAATATGACCAGAGAGACAGACCTGATATGGAGGTAATTAACTGCATTTGTTCTGCAATACACTTGCTAACAACTTGAATCACCAGAAGGTCCTTTTACCATAGTCTACAGGATCCTAATATTTAGTCAACAATACAACAGTCCAAGTAACTGATCCCAAAACATGATCTCCTTTGCAGCCTGTGTTGCTGTTCCTCAAGTCACAATGCTGTCCGAGTTCCACATCAATCTCAAATAACAGTATCAAGTATCAAAGTCCTGTCCCGTGAGGGGCTGAGTCATTAACCTGAGTGATCGACAGCAAATGTATTCCTGACACTTGAAACTGGTGCTGCAGAACATTCTGTGGGCAACTCCTTTGTATTTCTGAAGGAGAATACAGACCTATATCATCAATAATCCTGGCAGCTTTTTTTTTTTGCAGTGGTAAAGCTAAGAGCAAAAACAAGTTGCAGAGATGTGACAACCCTCTCAGAATTCTTATCAGAGAAAAATCTTGACCTTAGATCATATCAGTTACTACTTCTGGAAAGGCATTTCAGTTTTTCCTATTTAAGTAGCAATTTGTGGAAATGAAATGGAAAGAGAGCTCAATAGTTTTCCTATACCACTCAGCACGAGGTACTCTGAAAACAGGACTCTGCTTCTGAAAACACAGACATTTTAACAAGTTTGCTTTCAAAAGTCTCAAACTGTATTTCTTAATCAATAGGCACCTATTTTTTTGGCAATGCAACAAACTTAAAATAAAAATGTATGTTTTTTACTTAGGATGTTGAGATCAACTTCTTTGCACTATAGACAATTTTAATTTTCAAGGTTGATGTTTTTTAACAGTCCTTGTTCAGAAGCAGGTTAAAGCATACAAAGCACCAAGAATTCAAGGTATGAAAACAAAGCAGCTTAGCTTTGAGATGGCCACAGCAATTTATTCTCCTACCTGCTTTCCATCCAGGGTACAAAGTCTCTTGACTACACCCGAATCTAACTTAATGGCTTCGGTGATGTCATTCAGGACCTGCTCAAAGGAGTGAGCAGTCTTCTTGTTCAGCAGAATTCTCACAGCTTTCCGGGGCTTCACTCCACTCCTTATAACAGTCACTAATTTGGGTTTAATGAAATCTTTACTCTCCTTCACTTCACTCTTTGTGGACGACAGAGATGTCAGGGATCGACTGGACCCAGTTCTTATGTTCACACACCAGTTGGGGTTGACATTCTTGGTGTAATCAACTTTGCGATAGGGTTCGTTGGATGCACACACGTAGCTTTCACCTGCAAAGAAGAGGATGTTTTCACAGTTTAAGAGGGTTTTCAGCTACTTTTTCTCCACCTAAACAAGGAAAGACCTCATTGCTGTATGCAACTTCCTCACAGAAGGAAGTGAAGAGGCAGCACTGACCTCTTCTCTCTGGCAACCAGGGACAGGACCCAAGGGAACGGTCTGAGCTTGTTGTCAGGAGAGGTTTAGGCTGGAGATTAGGAAAAGGTTCTACCCTCAAAGGGTGTTCGGGCACTGAACATCTCCTCAGGACAGTGGGCACAGCCCCAAGGCTGACAGAGCTCCAGAGGTGTTTGGCCAATGCTCTCAGGCACAGGGTGTGACTGTCAGGGATGTCTGTGCAGGGCAGGAGTTGGACTAGGTGATCCTCACAGGTCCCGTCCAACTCTTGATTATTCTGTGATTCATCTCCAAAAATAGCCAAAAGAAATACAATGCTTTCAGCCTCTAAAATCCTTGAATAGGAGCCGCATGCACACTAGCATTAATTTACAGGTAGGGGGAAAAAAAAAAAAACCACTCTCCCAGGCTACCCATTGGTGGGATGGTGTGAGAAGCAGAAAAAGCCTTTGTGTAAGCACAGCTCAGCAGTAACAAAAACATCCCTGTGTTATCAACACTGTTTCCAGCACCAAGCCAAAACATAGCCCATGCTAGCTACTATGAAGAAAATTAACTCTATCCCAGCCAAAACCAGCACAAACCCTTAGGAAATTTTTTTTGCCCACAATTACATGCTAAATATTTTATAGATGCACCTAGGAAGTGACTTTGTTGTGTGGTTGTGTGTTGGTTAAGAATGCTATCTATTATCTAAATGAACAGAAGGTAATTTAGTCATTATTCTGGGTGCATAGTCTCAGGCATTCAACTTCAGCAAGTCCCTGACCACTTGCTTTGAAGTTCATTGATCTGCATAAGACTTTGGTAATATTCAGTCATTCTCAGATAATAATTTATATGTAAATTAACCTGTCCATGCCTGTAAATACCTTTCCAAACACACTGAGTGCCCATAACATCTCAAAAGGTTAGATTTTCAGTCCATGAAGTCACCTATCGCTTCAGAGAAACCTCTTCAGCACAGCTGTGTGCAAAGTACCTTAAAATTCACCATCATTGACCATGGGCAGAATTATCTTTCCCAACTCAAAAACAATGCACTTCCTAGACCATTAAAAACAACCACCAAACTCACTTTTCCTTTAAGCAGAGGCCACGGTTGGGTGTTTGGTTTTTTTACAAACCAAACCCAGGAAGTGCTTTCAACTTAAAATAACAGAATACCTTAAAAGAACTAATTTCCAATCATTTCTTTCAACAGCATTTAGCCAAGTCTTAAGTTGAAGCACCAACTATTTTAGCTTTAAAAAAAAAAAAAGAGAGAGAAAAATCTGGCAAATTGGATTGCAAAATTTCCTATAACTGGCAGGGAATGCCTAATTACTTGAGAACTGTAGTATATTACAGATTATTTAGTAAGTGTTTCAAATTCCATGCCTGCTTTCACATACCAGTCAGAGAAATAAACTTAGTAACACAAGTTTTACATGGAAAACAGATTTTACTACTACACCTGCAAAGGAGGCACAGATGGCAGGACTAGAGCAAGAACGCTAAGTGAGAAAACACATGCACTGAGTGATTTATTTTGTTCATGACTTCTAAAAAAAAGATGAAGGTTTTTACCCGATTCAAATTACTACTTTAGCTTCTAATGATTTCACCACAGCCAGGACTTCACCCACAGTTTCTAAGTTCTATGGAAAATCTTGCAAAATACCAAAAGAAAAAGCAAGAAATATAATTAGATTATAATTAGAAACCCAATTGCTGTTCTCTGGGCAAAGAATGGTTTTCTAGGAATGGGTTAAACATTGATTTGTTTGGGTTAACAGGGGCAAACAATGGATTATTCAACAGAAGAAAATATGTAAGGAAAGGGAACAAATGGCAGGGGCAACTTCAATCACACCTATAAAGATAAGTACAGGAAACTTTCCTACAGAATGGAGTATTCAAAAAGCACATCTGAGAAAACACCATCCCTGACAGCATCAATTTTTGATCATTGTGCTATTGTTTCAGTTGTTATTTTAGTCATCCTCCACAGAACAAAATGTCCCTATATGTGTCTGTCTGGAAGAAATGTCAAGTCATTTGTAAGAGTATTATGTCTCTTTTACATTATATTTTATAGGCAAAAACCTGAAAAGGTAATATTATAGACAATATTTGCTCAGAGCTTTAATGTATGACCTGATTTTTCCATCTGCTTGGGATTAATTCATGACTAAACAGATACTTTTGCTAATCTTCACAATCTTCCAGAGAACCAGTATTTGTTAAAGGTAACACACAGTACTTCATTTGGGGAGGGGAGCAATGTGTGTGTGAAACCAACCAAATTTATTTCAAACTCTGTTAACAAAGTAACAGATAAATTGGTGGTTAAAATCACGTATCAGTTTGACTTTTCACTGACTGCCTTGAATGAGATTTCTCATGTCTCTAACCTAAATACATCCCATCCCAAATATGAAGAAAATCTTGTTTGAGAAGTCAGTGACATTTTGATCAGGCTGTAGCTTTTTATTTTTGTTGTCATTTGTGTATCTACCAGCCCTAGAAAGTTGACACAACTCCAAAAAGAAGCATAAACAATACCTCAAATATTTACATTGATGCCTTCAATATGGTCAATTTTATGGTTTGAAAGCATTCTTTCCATTTATAATCTTGAAAGATTTTAAAGCTAATGACTATTTAAAGCTAATGACTAGCTTTAACTAGCACATAGTCACAGCAGTTACATGACTGAAAATAAATACCATGTCTTTAGCTTACAACATTAGAATTAACATGAATTAATTAACAGTTCCCCAGGTTTTAGACCAGGTGATGAACTTAGTCATTAATATCTCATGGAGATTTGCAGGTCAAGAAGTAAACTATAGACCAATGAAGTAGAAAAACCTATTAACCAATACTTTATAAAATGCAGACCTAAGTGACATCTGGGACTCTGAGCCCAGCCAAACTATTCTACACCAGCAAGCTCAACCAGGCTGAAGAGCAGTTTTGGCCTAAGTATGAAACTTCATTGTAAGTTCACATCCATCTGATGCTTCTTGACAGTACCCAGAGCAATCCAAAAAGTGTCAGTTTTCCCATGAAAAAAATCCTGCTCCCACCAAAAACTCCTCAAATGAGTTATATGCTCACTTAAAAGGAGTAACATCTGCTGATATTTTGGGTCACAATATAATCAACAAATGGAATGAGTCTACCTCTGACTTTCTAAGTCTTATTAACATGAGAAAATCAACTAGAAGACATAAAACTTTGCCTGTTAACAAGGAAACTTTACCTGCCCCTAAATAATTTAGTTGTACTGCATTAATCACCAGATGTACAACCCATGAAACAAGACCTGTGTGTGTGCTGAGCATATGCTTCAGCATACTGCAGAAGGATTCCAGTTCCAGAGAGCTAACAGTCTAAACATAACAGGTGCCATTCCCTCACAACAGGAAAACACAGATGATGAACACAGAGAATGGATAAAAGAGAAAACAAAACTGCATTAGGCAACTGACGATCTACCACTATTTATCAATCAGATTGGCCAAATACTGTTTTGCTTAAAAACTCCTCCATGAAGTTTTTCTTTTGCCACCTGTTTTTTCAACACCAGGTCAACAAGAAATGTGCCTAGTCCACCTTTCAAAGTCTAAACACACAGATAAAAAGCATAAGGTTAGCATGAACTCTCCAAAATTCAGCCATGCAATGTTAGGGACTAACAAGAAGAGAAGGATGTGTCTTTTCCCTTTGTATCACAAGGGCACATCACTTCCAACTTGTGCAGCTTGGAGGAAACAGCTGCCTGTCAACCTGGGGTTCTTCACAGCACAAGTTTTTTGAGCTGAAACCCATTGCTGGGCATTTCACAAAAAGCCTAGAACCATTCAGATGTTTCTGTCCTTAAAAACAGAGGCTACTCAAGAAATACATACAGATATTTCATTTTCCTTAGCATTAGGTTATAAACCAACTGTGGATATGTCACGTGGTGGGCAACGTATGGAAGAGATGAAGTGTGTGACACTCAAAAATCCTCAGTCTGGACACTTGAAACAAAAGCATCTGAACAAGGTTTTCTGACTTGCTTTTTGCAGGGTGTTAATAACCACAATCTCCTCAAAGTCACAGAGAGAGCCACTTTTTAAATGGCACACTGCATAACAGAACAGGTAAAAACATCCCTACAGAAAGAAAACCATTCATTTCCACATTTTAAAATGTGTGTTCCCCTGTGAACCCATGGGACAGGGATCTAGATACATTTCACCTCTTCGTTTCGTGTTCCTTACCTCCTTTGGGTGGAACTCATTAGTTTCAAGGGTACCAATAGCTGCTTATGCACGACAGCACAGTCGTTATCAGGGCTCCTAACCTAACTTCAGGAAACACAGAATGGCCTTTTTTGTGTTCTGTAACATAAAGCCAAGCAGATTTCCAGAACAGTATATTTATGGCATGTATAAAACCTCTGATCTAAAAATGAAACAACCCCTTTTATGAAGGATTAGGTTATTTAGATTTCTCTTTCCTTCCTTTCTTTGAGCAACTTCCCTCCTCGCCAGTTTCTTACAATTCACTTTCACATCACCTTTAATAACCCTGTATCAGGCACAATCTTTCCTCATCTACAGCATGTAAAGTTCCCCATGCATTTTTTAAAACCTGGGACGACAACCAAGATTTTAGAAGATGACTAACTGCTCCTAGTTCTCTTTTGACTTTAATTTAGACAAGAGGTTCAGCTGACATCTTCTTCCAGGCTGTCACAGACTCACAGAGCAGCTGAGGTTGGAAAGGACCTCTGGAAGTTCAACCCCCTGCTCAGGCAGGGTAAAAGCTTTCAAAAGACAGTCAATGCCACCTGCTATCAAACCCACCTAATACCACATGCCTCCCCCACAGTAAGTAACTCTTTTCAGGTAAATTCCATTTCCACCTTCCCTGAAACTAGGAGATGCTCAGTGGTGGAATTATTTTATTTTGTTTGGATGGGAAGGTAACTAACAATTACATCTGTACTTCACATCCATACCCCATTGCTCCACAGAGGTGGAACTACAGTGATTTGGGCTTTTAATGGTTTTTAATCTTTCTTTTATCCTCCCTTTTTACCCTTCTTTGTTCAACCTGCTACTTTTGCCTCTTCTTTTTTAAAGCATTACAGCTTCAGCACAGAAAGGAAATCATACCTTATGGAAGAGGCAAAAATACAAACTGCCTACTCAGTGTTATCATCTGCTTGCCCTGACAAGAGAAAAAGATATTCTTGCCCTAATATAACAGACTAGAATCACAGGTACTTATGCAGGATTAAAATGTAATATGCAATAACAACAACAGTAATCTAAGGCAGCAAAAACTTAGGTTGGTCAGTATGTCATTTCAAAAACATTCTCTTGCTCTGTATTAGTGAGGCAGAGCTCATTTCTGTAAACCAGATATTGCCCTGTGCTACATGTCCTAGCCATTCAGGAGGACTCTTCTTCTCAGAACCTTCCCACCTCATACCCAAAGACAGATGCCTGTTGATTGTGTGCACAACTGTGCACACAAAATTACTGACATTTTATAAAGGACTGTGTTAATCAAGCATTGTGGCTGAAAGAACAAAGACTCTCAGTAATGTTTCCTACCTTGAGAACTAGAAAGATTTCCAATCACATGCAAAAATCAAGCTAAGTTTTCTTGCCAGGAATAGAATCTACATTTGGGTTTCCTCTCCCAAAATCCAACCATAACTCACAGCTTTGCAGCAGACCTTTAAAATCAGGATTCCCCATGTCTTTCACTAACCAGACAATGAAAGCAAAGGATAGTGAGACAAAGCCTGACTGACATCCCAGTAAAGCACATAGCTCAGGACTAAAGACCTGCACACTTGTATTACTATTGTGCCATGCTTTAGGAAGTTTTTTTTCAAAGCAAAACTGAAGGATATAGACAAACACTTCAGTAGTTAACCTCAGTAGAAAGCAAAAATTAATCCATCATTGCGTTTTTGCTACTGAAGGGCAAATATAAAATTACACATGGAATCTCCTATTCAGAAGTAAAAAGCAGTGTAATGTCTGAGAGCAAAGTTGAAAGAAAGAAAACTATAAGAAAGTCATATTAGTCCCAACCCCCATCCCCTCTCTGTGTCTGCCTGCTCAAACAGATCAAGAGCAGACAATGAAATTCCTCCCTCCTCCCATTCTAAGAAACTGTCAAACTCATGAGCCATAATGTTCCCTAATCTGCAGGGGCTGGGAATATAAATTATATTTGCCTAAGGCTGGTCCAGCAGAGCATGCTTTTTTTTGACTGTCACATCCAGTTAACAAAAGCAATATGTTTAAACTGGAGCTTCTATTTTTGACTAATAAACATGATCTGGTCGAATTTTTAACTGACTCAAACCCATAACAGCAATATTTGATGTCCTCAGAATGTCTATGCATTAGCTATTTTTCTCAAGGTTATTAATGGTAAACCAGATAGCCAAATACAGCCAAACCCCAAAAAAACATTCATCAGTGACTCAATTCAGCTAATTTGGACTATTATGACACAGAATTTGATCTTGCAGCTTTTATATCCCAGACAGATATTAACCTGATAAGCAGCAAATAAGGCTTAAAGAGCTTGTCTGCACTGGGGCATGTTAATGTCCAAGAGCTGCACACCCAGGGACGAGCTGAGAGAGGTTTAATGCAGATCCTGTTGGCTTGGCAAGGCTT